GTGGTTGCTTGAAAGTGGACAAAATGGTTTCTAATCTCACTGGTTCAGCTGTCACCGCGCGAGCATCAATATTTTGACACGTTCACCCTCATTACCGCGAAGTCCCTGACGTTATTAAATTCACGTACCTATACTATAAACATTTATGCACATTGTTTACTTTGTAAACGTACTGACGTTTACCTTTCTCGGGGAAAGCATCACGCACCACAGCTGAACTTGAACCTAGGCTACATGGCGATTAAGGACATTGGTTGTTATAGTAACCTTAATCCTTCTAAACAAGGCGCTGATGAGATAAAATTTACGCAAATTGTATCACATCGTTTCTTTACCAAGATATATTTGACGAATATATATGCGAAATAATACGCGAAATAAAATAGTCGACGCGTAAATTATGAAATTTAAATTCACGTTTAATTTTTTTCAAATAGCATAAAATTTTTTACTTGTTTTTCTCGTAGTAATTGTGAAATATAAGTAATTATATTGTGAAATATAAGTAATTATGTATAATTATGTATAATCTTTAACATATAGATTTAAATGTATAGGTTTAAATGTGCAATAAACATGTGGCGGCAGTCTAATTAAAATTCGCTCTTATAATTATATCAACATATTTGTTTTTTAATAAATATATTTTGTTAATAAATATATTTTGTTATACGTGATAATTAAATCAATACATATAGACCATGTTTTAATTACGATTAAAAAATATTGAATGCTGATATATCTCGAGAATATAAAAATCTTCGTATAATTTTGCGATATAAAAATTTAACAATTTGAATTCAATTTTGCACAAACTATATTTGAATTCACAGTTTACTGAAAAAATACGTGTGTTTTATAACCTTCTAATTATAAAGTTTTAATTACTCACAGTATTTTTTTCTAATTTATACGTGAATTCCTCTACGGTTATATACCTTTTGAACAAACATAACTCCAAGTTATTGCAAATAAAATTCCGAGTGTTTTAACATAAAACTAAAAAAAAAATTTGTTTAAATAATTCGATAGTTAATTCAATATATTAAATCGTAGCTGATATACGTAGTTAACAAAAATATCTTTTAATATATAATACATTTAAGCAAATTTTGTAAAATATCAGCAAAGTAAACATTTTATGTGCTATTCAGTGTAGTATATATATGCAATTCTATATTATTTTTAATAATTAATAGTGCAGCCCGTGGTGTCGCGTTTAAATATAAATGATACGTTCCCACGTGAATATGCGCTATACGCGTTTGACTGGTTACAGAATTTCGCCAATGCTACTAACGCTCGTAACGAGTTTCGTAAACTTCTGCTTCAGTTTGATATCAACGCCGTTGACCCATATATAAAGCAATCGTGCTTAACAAATTCAAATTTCAATTGGCGCTATCTGTGAACTATTATCCTTCGTTCGTTTCGAAACTAGGTCCATCCTGTCAGCTTTATGAAACAACGGCGGCGCGTCTCAAAGCGAAAAATTATTAGTAACGACCGTTAAACCATGCGCGATGTTCATAAATCGACACAGTTTATCATAAGGGAGCTGTATAAGCACATACTTTGTTCGCTCGACGGTATCTAGCTCGTAACGGCACCTTAATGAAGTCGTAAAAGACCGGTGAAGTGTGCTGGCGGCCCCTCTCGAGCGCAGCTTTATAGTTTCGATCGGATCATCGATCGTCGGAAATGCATTATTTTGTCTCACGTTAATGCAGAAAATAACCGAGTATAGATTTTATTGGATATCAGCCGCGTTATGATTATAAGTCATCGCGTGGCGATACATCTATGGTATACACATATATTTCATTAGTGTGTGTTGACGATTTTTCATTATCTAGTTTCCTGTCTTCGCAAAAAAAAAAAAAAAAAACGTTAACTGTGCGTTGCAGAACGAAATTAAAATATGAAATGCTAATAAGACGTTATTTGCAAAATAAATAAAATTGATAAAATATCTTAAAATCCAAAATTAACGTTAAAGGAATTTATAAGCAACTTATAAGGTATTGCACGTGAAAATTCGACGATTTCTTTTTCCAAAATTTTAGTATTGATTTTCATTTTAGTTATTCAAGCTTTTGGTTTTTTTTATTTTTCAAACTTTGACATGGTAATAAAATGCGGCGTTTCAAGCATTTTTATTGAGCGACGCGTGTATTAACACTAACAGTTTTTGTTTGCAAACATATGCAACGTTTGCAAATATTCAGACCGACAATGACTTGAAATTAAAGTAGATAGAACTCATAGAGCGCACAAGCTCTATGATTTTATTGATCCGTGAATAGACCCGATATATACTCGCTGAATAACCACGTACCATAGCTCAGTTTGTGTAACCATTCCATTCAACCATGTACCATGCAAAGAGCCGCTGACGAGTTTTCCTTCTCTCTACCACCAATATATACATATGAATTTGATATAATCTGCCACAATGCAAATGCATGCCATGATCGCGAATATCCAAGCGGTACCTACCTACCTCTCTCTTAAGCTTCAGTGTTACTGCTCTGGTTGATGGTTCTAGCGGTAATCACAATTGAATTTCAGCAAAATACCTCTAATCTGTGCATAAAAGGAAATCATATTTTATGTGTCACCGCAACATAATTTAATCAATGCTGATCAAAGAATAGAAATCTAAAGAATAGAAATCAAAAAATAGAAATCAAAGAATAGAAATCTAATTCTATAACCTCTAAGTTAATTATAAAACTATCTAAAATCACAAATTGCTTTTAGACAATCTATAAATAATATTTAAATTTGGTGGATTTTTCATGTATTTCGTATTAAATGTTTAAAAGAGTGATGACTAAAAATATTGGTAAGATAAAAACTTTTTGAAAGAATTCTCATTGTAAAAAATTAAAATAAAAGTATAAAAGTATGAATTTAACAATTTATTAATAATTTATTTTAACGATTAATGTTATGTTAAACATTTTAATAGATTTTGTAGCATAAGATTAATCGTTAATAAATAAATGATTAATGATAAATTGTTAAATTCATATTTTTATCCTTTTATAATTTGTATAAAAAAAATTTAGAAGCTTCGTCAATCTTAACATAAACATTCTAGATATACAAAACTAATATTGGCATGCTTTCAAAATCGAAAAATTGAACACATATGCATTTCATCACGACATACGGCCAACTCATATAAATTGTACGGCATGTAAGCGAATGAAAAGCACGCGCGGACGTTGATGAGAATAACTTCTCAAAGCTCTTCAGCGCAGACTGCACGATTTGCACAATCGAAGCAAGGAGCCTCTGACGAGTTTCCCGCGCTTTGTCGGCCACGTCCGTATGCAGCGCGTATAATTCTCGCCGATGTAAATGCGCGCAGTTTGCTGCAGACAATCGCGTAACGAAGTAACCGCGCCATACGCCCGGCTACTGTGGCCAGCGAACTGCGCCGCGTCGTATGATAACGCCGACTGTTTCCGACACGGTAGCTTCCGTAGACGCGAGAATTCGTGAAACCGAAAAGTCCGGTTCGCGGCGTGTATGCGGCACACTAGTCGGTCGAGCAACGCACGAACTTCAATTAGCGACCAGGCAATTAACAGAGTACACGAGGCGCTCGCTTACCGCTCCGAAAATTCTCCCGCGCGGTGTGAGAGATGCAGCGCTAAGGCACCCTATGCAAATTAATGGTTCGGAGGTCACACCCTTCTTTTTTCTCTCATTCTCACACTTTCTCTCTGCCTTCTCTCGAAGGCTCGTCGTTTTCGCGCTGCATCGTGCGCTTGTCCATCGTCGTACCGATAAATACAACCCCGAAGCATGAAAAAAAAAGAAAGACGAAGCAAAAGCGGTTCTCTTGTACAGCTAATATTGTATGTCGGCACAAGAGTAAACGCGTGTCGTCGCTATAGAAAGCTTAACTTGTCGATAACAAGAGCTTTAGAAAGTTTAGTCGACGCGAAACAAATGCGCTGTATGAAGTGATAAACGTTAACGTTAATATATCATCATAAAAAAATCAGTCACAAAGTTTTCTGCTGTATGATTGTTGTTAGAAGAATTTTCCATTTCTCTAGAAGAATTCTCTAGTCAAAATTGTCTTGAGCAATCATAAATTTGTCTAAACACGGTGGCAAAAAGCATGTTCTTGTACGCGTGTGATTAATTACGTCGTTCCGAGAATGATTGTCTCCAGAACAAATTTCAATTAGCACTCGATAGCAATTAATAACATGTACATGGTGCTCGTTTGGCGACACGCGAACCAGCTATTTGCGAAAAGCATTTCTAATTAATAAGTTTCATCTCCCACCCTTCGTTACTCTTCGTTACATGCGCCGCTCATTCGGTTCCCCCGTATTCTCCCTCGCTGGCGATAAATAACGGCAGATGTGTGCGCCGTAACGCACTCGTATCTAACATTCGTTTCGTCCATAGCGCAGCTAAATGCACGGAAATCGATCGACTGGCGCACGAGACTCCGATTTCGCAAATAAGACCGCCGACAGGCCACCAGACACACCGGAAGATACTCGAGGACGCTTATCGCGCGTACTCTCTCCAAACAACAGATGTATCCGCAGTAAGTACCTGTCATAGTGGGCGTCACCACGACCGACACGTACAATGACAATATCGTGCGACAACACACCAACGTCCCTTAATCCCCGCTGACGGAAATGCACACACTCGCGGCGGCGCCGTAAACCGAAAGCGCAAACCCAGGACTGACAGTCCCGTCCGGAGTGTGTTCTTGTTCTCGAGTGTCGTCGAGGCGAACGCGCGCCTTCGACTCGTCAGAAATTGCTCGTCTCGTTTCGGAGGCCGAGAGGTCGGTCCGAGAACGAGGGTGCTCGTCCGCTCTACGCAACACACGAACATCGACGCGGTAATCTAACGTGATCGTGCCGGCCGAATGGGATAATTGTCGGCCGAGAAAACGGAGTGATGGCACGTCGAGGTACGATTCGTCTCGGCGTGCGTGTGCGAGTGTGACTTACCAGTGCTGAAGTGCGAGGGAAGATCCTGGGATCCGTGTCGGCACACGCGTAGATCGCTGGTTTCGGCAAGCAAACTTCACGTTGCGGCTCGTATGCGCAGGTGAGTCGACGTTATTAATTTCTAAAACAACCAAGATGCATGTCTCCGTGTAGACGATTGTTTATTTCTTGTTTATGTAGAGAAATGAAATTTCTAACTCGGTAATCTTGTTAAACTTGATGGATATCTAAGGGGTTCTGTGTGAGTTCAAATGTCTGAATTCAAATGTCTGAAATATAGTCGAAAACCAAAACTAGAAAAAGATAGACGAGAAAATTTGCATAAAAGATGTAAAATCTGATAAAAATCAGAAATTTAATTTCAACGCCATTGTACGCAATAATCAAAGTGAAATTTGCATTACAGGATTGTGCGTAACTCACGCTCGCGCTATAGTAATCCACTTATAAAGAAACTGCACAGCTGCATTACGTGTAAGTTAGAACTTTAGCCAGCTTTCAAGTTCTTGCGCGCAAAGTTGATGACATTCTTAGTATAGGACTCTTGCAAAACTTTATATACTGAGCAAATAATTTCATTAAAACTATTGAAATATAAAGTATAAAATGTGTATATAGAAAATATTTAGGAAATTCTCTTATATATGTGCTTACACATATGCTGCCGTGATATTGATTTCATTCTTCATAATTATGTTTCAGTAACAGATTTTATTTTATAGTAAAAAGTACAAAAATATAAGAAATTTTTAATTAAAATGTTTACTTGAAGAAAGAATGTTTCTCTAAGTTTGTCTAAAGAAAAATGCTTGTGCTTGTCTAAAGTTTATGTATAGTTTTTATACTTTTTGTCAGATTTCCATGTGATCTTGTAACCACTACATAGCATAAAAATCGGCTGAGTGTAGGACACGTCATACATAACTTTGATAATCCGTCCTAGTAGTTTATGACATGATCCACTTAAAACTTCTGGATTGTATCTGTAGATAAAAACTCGAAGAATTTTTATGAATATCTCTTTATAATCTTCAAGTATAGCGACTATGCATTCTCTAACATGAAATATCTTGTAAAAATATATTATAAAAGTTACTCTCGTATATTTTTCTCAGATAAACGCTCAACATTAAATTATGTCAAATGTGTACCTCAATTTGCATTTTTTATCAGTCGACTTTTGCATGTAGCAAAAAACGACTCACATCTAAATCGTGTAACTAAATTTTTATTAAGATAGCAACTCATTAACACTGTAAACGCTCGGACACTTTTCACACGATAAAAATCTCAACTTCAGTTTTTCGCATTTTTAACAGGCAACACAACGTGATATACGAACCAATAAAACATATCTATCCTTCAATCTGACAATTAACTTTATTCGCGGTGCGTTCGCGCACAAGTGCTACACGAGTGTCCAATCGATTTTTGAGTTTGGTTTCGAGGAGATAGCGGCACTATGCTTTCGCCGAGTGAGTCCGCGTTCAATCGTTATTTTCTGGAAAATACGTTTCCGCAGACTTATAGTGCCGTTAATCTGTCGCCGCTAAATGGCGTTACGCGTCATACGCAGCGGAGCACCGCATTTCACGCATTAAAATTGTTTTTCTAAATAAATGTGAATTCGCAAAAAAATAGTCGAGCACTGCGTCAGCTGATAAATGCAGCGTAAAATCAAGCCGCTGCTGCGTATGTTTTTTTCCATAAAAATGCTCTATATTTTAATTATGTGACGCGTCGTTTGCTCTCTTCCTTTCTCTCTTTCTCATTACCATGCTCATCCAAAAATAATATATCGCTTGCAAATATCAGACATGAGGTAAATCACGATATAAAATGATGACAGCTATTTATATTTTAGCCATAATCCGTGTTCAGCAGCGAAACTGCGGTATACACAGTGCGATGCAATTAAAACCATGCAGGGGATTTTTACGATACACACGTAAACACGATATTATCCCTCGTGTAATCCATGACCATAATTAATGCGACAACTCAGAGCGTAATTACTTTGGAGAATGATATTTTAGTATATTCATATACGTATACGAGCGCACACACAAGCAGCATGCGGCATACTTAACGCTTTAATATCAAAAATTTGTGCACCAGTTGCTTCTCTATCAAATGCGTTTATTGCGAAAGCCATTACGTACTTTGATACAAATAAAAAAAAAAAAACTAGTACACAACAGAATAGCGCACGCCTTGTTATATTGCCCAAATCGATCTTATTATTTTAACACCTTTATAATAAAAAAAAATGTTTAAAACGCTCAACAGATTACGTTGTTCAGAAATCTGACTCAGACGCGAAGCGTCTGAGTCGAAAATTTGAAAATATTTATCGTAAACTATTTAAATGAACGCTAAAAATGTTTAAATATTGTATAACTTTGACCGAAATTCGAAACCAATTCTGCACACCTCTTTCTCGCAGTATAATTAATTTCGAACGGCAGCTTCAGACAACAAGTGCAATATTACAGTTTCGGAATGCACAGAATGTCTGCTTTGCGGTACACGCGCAGACCGCCCGACACGAGAGCTGCGATCTGACGAGCAAATCCCGGCCACAAATTCGACTTGCACTTTCACGAGGGCAGATCCGCTAGTTGGACCGTAATATTTGTGGTCACCGTAGAATGCCTCAACAACCCTTTAAAGCACCCGCTCGTCTCTTCAGCGATTGTCGACGCGTGGCCCGTACGTTCGCTTTTCGAGATCGCTCTCTGTCCCCGCTCTGTGTCTCCATCCGATCAGCATTTCCCTTCAACAATTGTCGCGCGAAGTTCTCCGCGTGCTAAAGAATGTCATTAAAGCAATACCGGAAGCGCACCGCTGAATACCGCAACTCAGACTGTTGCGAAATTACGTGGAAGTGATTTTCTCGAAACTACACGCAGAAGATAATGAGTACGACTCTGTTCATTTGTTAAGCGGAATAACCGACAGGATTATTAGAATTCTGCGCGTCGTAATAGCGATGGAACGACAATACCTCTCTGCGAATATGTTGCTTTGTCTCAAATTCCGACGTAATATATTTGCAAAATGTATAGTGATGCTTAATGCTGTACTTATTGTTAGTGCGACATTTCAATGTTATTTGGTTTACTCGTTCGAGCATAATTTATATTCAACATTTAATAAAATTTTTATCTAAAATCCGAACATGTAATCGTATACTGTATACTGTAGTTAATATTTAACGCTGAACGAACACGGAGGCTGATAATACGCGTCTTTTAATTAATCTATGTCACGATAATACGTTCGCTTTCGCAAAAGAAAGCAAACTCGTGATAAAAGAATTCAGACGAGAAATAATTCAGGCGAATATATTTCCAATAGATCGAGTGAAAACGGCGACAGTTGTCGGTCTGCGCTTGACACCTGCAAGGCAAATTAATTCGCGACAGCTGACTCGGTTGTCAGTTCGATTAAGTGCTGGGTGGAGCTGAGTGGTTGTGTAACAAATTAGATCTGACTATGCCGACTGGTTTATAGACTGCGTACGTGCTTGAGATCATGCAATATTGCACACGAAACCTAAGCCATAAACTATTATCGCAATATCAACATTCAATATCGCAAATCTAATTTCGGCACTATAGATATACATAGGCACGTATTATACTGTCTACTAACTTGGAACACGTATTGGAAAATGGTTGAGTTGCAACGGTTTGGCTTTATTTCTTTATTTCTCTTCTGCAAACAATTTGTAAGCTTTCAGCAATTTTGGAGAGCAATTTAAAAAGAAAAAATAAAAAAAAAAATAAACAAAAATACAATGAAACTCTAATTCCGATGCTATTTTCAAAAAGTGTGTCTCGAATTAAATACCACAAATTAGTTAATTCTGCTGTACAAGATTAATTGTAATTGTAATTTCTTACTACACAAATGTAGTATAAGAAAAAATAATATTCAACAAAATATAATCCATCTCCAATTAATCATGATGTTAAAATTAGATAAGTAATCACTAGATGTTCGTGCAAGATTTATTATCTTTTGTAATTTTATCAAATTCTTTCTGTAAAAATATTTATGTTATATTTTTAAATCAAAAGTCTTTTCAAAGTTTATTATACATGAACAGAGATAATTGTTAGATGGCATTACAGTTCAAAACTTTCCGTAATAAAGTGCGGTAATTATAATTGGTACATTAGTAAAGAAAATTAATATCTAGATTTTGTCTAATTGTCAAAGCCTCCGCATATTAAATAAATTTATATGGCACTGCACATTTCATATTATCGTATGTCACATATTTCATTTAGTCGATAATTTACTTATTTAAATAATCGTTTAAACCATTTTCCACACAATTATTACACTATTCAAGTCAATTTCTATTCTTCTTTGATGTTATTCAATCTTGCGATGAAATATGTCATTATCTCATTATAGGCTTCTGTCAATTCAGAGTTAATGATGGGTAGTGAATACATCTATATTTGCATTAAACGCGATTACTCGGCAACTCGATTAAATATTTCTGCCCGCTAATATACAAAATAATACATTCTTGATTTCAAAAAAATTCAATAAAATGTTAATTTTATATTGCTACAATTTATCGAATACGGGTATAAAAAGCAATTATATCTCTTAAATCTGTAATTAAAAACCTGTAATTAGTATTGCGCAAGAATGATATTATGCAAGAACAATCGGTTGAGGTAATAAAAGTGTACAATCTGATCTTCTGATATGCATCGGGAGAGCTTTTTCGTATTTCGCAGTCAATTCAGAAAGATTTAAGGATCTAACGGTTTAACGATTTTGCGTCGATCATCGTCAGTCGAGGTATTTACTTCACACTGGCAAACTGCAAGGGATAAAGGAAGGAAAGAAGTGCCGAAGGAAGGAAGAAAGCTGGAGAGAACGCCACGAGGAAAGGGCGATCCATCAAAATCAAAAGAGCACCACCGCAAGCGCCAAGGGTCGTTTACTTTCTCTGCTCCCCGCAGGTACTTCGTTATTTTTCGAGACGCCTCTTATCTTTTTTTTTCCTTTGTCCTCTCCGTTTGTGTCATTATCCCCGTACCTATATGTGACACTGGCGAAGTGGCCAGATAAATGATATAACAAACAACTAGA